ATTGGCCTTTCCTGAGCACCTCAAAGGACAGCCGCCAGGGCTCACCAACCACACCTTTATCGGGAGCCCAAGCCACTTTTTCCTTTGAAGTTGGCGGACCCATCCGTTTCTCCTCTCCCTTCCCGTTAGAATGAAGTTCCACCGTAAGAGGCAGATTGTGAGCTCTCTGCTTGAAACAGATCCTGGCACATAACAAACATTCACTGCTGGGCTCTAGGCGAATGAATCATCTCCCTCCCCATCACTCGTCACTTGCGCGTACCAGATGGCTTTTCCTGCCTGCTCTCCACAAATCCTCACAATGACTCTGGGAAGACAGGTACTGTTATTATTCTCGTTTTAAAGGAGAGAGAGAGAGAGCACACACGCAGAAAGACCCACCGTGGACGGGGCTGGTCATGAATCCCAGGCCCCTAGATAGATAGAGGCTTTGCTTCTTCCCCTCAGTGAGGCTGGAGGTGCAGGGTCATGCAACTCGACTGCTGCCCCACACGCCCACCCTTGAACTTCACTTTCAATGACTGTTCTATTGGCACGACCCCTCCCTCCGTAGACGAGGGCAGTCACCACGCTTCTTCCGTCCTGCTGAAGGGACAGTAGCTGTCGGACACCTCCAAGCTGCGCTCGACACTGCAGCCTGACTGCTGTTCCCGGGCCTTACATTTGATCCTCACACTGTCGCAAATCTCGGGCTTTTTACTGGAGACCGTGCTTTGACTTTAACCAGTACTTAGAAGAACATGGCTGGAGGGGATGGCCCAGTCCATACAGTGCTGGAGAGGAGGATCTTGAGGCTTGTTGGTCAGCCAGTCTAGCGGAATCAGTGAACTCTAGGCTCGCTGACAGACCCCATCTCAGATGATGATGATGATGATGGTGATGATGATGGTGATGGTGATGATGATGGTAATGATGATGGTGATGATGATGATGGTGATGATGATGGTGATGGTAATGATGATGATGATGATGGTGATGATGATGGTGGTGGTGATGATGATGGTGATGATGATGATGATGAAGGTGGAGTTTGAGGAAGACACCCAACATTGCCCCTCTGGCTTCCACATGGGCACACATACACCTGCACACTTGTAAAAAGATGACCGTGGCATCTTGACGGTGATACTGACCTAACTGATATTTCCAGAAATGTTTACGTCAGAGCTGATCAGAACTCCAGAGGACGGATGTGTCCCAACAGATGTCCCTGGCCCTGCCCAAACCCTCCAACTGGGACACTCTAGGAGTGGGGTCAGAGAATGTCCATTTTTAACGCCACAAGCACTGCTGACAGCCGCTGATTTAACGCTTCTCATCTCTAGGACACTTGGCAAATGTCCACAGGTCAGGCAGTACTGTTTAAACCATCATCGTCAAGATAAAGACTTGACCAGTCTCTTTTCACAATTAAACCACCATGTCTCACAAATGAAACCCCTGCCCCAACTCATGCTACATGTTTCAAAAGTGCTTGGACCAAGCAGTGGTGGTACACGCCTGTAGTCCCAGCACTGGGGAGGCAGATCCAGGTGGATCTCTGTGAGTTCGAGGCCAGCCTGATCTACAGAGTGAGTTCCAGGACAGGCACCAAAACTACACAGAGAAACCCTGTCTCCAAAAACAAAACAAAACAAAACAAACAAATAAACATAAAAGTGCTTGGAACCTGGGTAAGTCACGCCATACTACATAAAGTCAACAGTTTTACTTTGAGATATACTCATCTCAGGATTTTTCCATTTCTAAAAAACAAAGCAAAAACCAAACAAACAAACACTATCTTACCACAGCTTTGCAATGATTTGAGAGAAAGAAAAAAAAATCAATCAACACACACACACACACACACTCACACACACACACTCACACACACACACACTCACACACACACACAGCCCATGCCTTACCCCAGCACATCAGTGAGTTCTGAACCTTCTATTCAGGTCTTTTGCATCGTAAAAGATCCGTTATCATGTCAGAGATAAGCTTTGTTAGAGGCTGGCCACTGACTTTCCAGCCAGCATCCCAAGTCCCTCATATTTTACCAGGCTTCAGAACTGTCTGTCTTGTCTTTGGACATGGGATGCCATCTGACCCCACATTAGCTCCTGTCTCCTACAATTATAGGCAGAGACAAATATTTTACCAGCTAGTCATCTCTGAAGCCAGCTACTCCAACTGGGAGGGTCCCGTGGCACAGAGAAACAACAGCATGAAGCTGGAGTATTAAACTTTTGTCCTTAAGATGTATAATATATTTTATATAAAGATTATGAGATATATATGTATATAAAATGTTTAAAACTCCAACTAATTTTTCCTTATTATAACATATAAATAGCCCAGAAAAATATTTTCTTCCAAAAAAAAAAAATATAAAAAACAAGCTAAAAAAAACCCCTGATAACAAAGGTCAAATGTTTTTAGAAACTACTTTGAAAAATGAAATTTGAATATAGTGCTAAGGCAAGTATGGAATCTGAGTCATGTCATGAAGTTTAATAACTTTTTTTTTTTTGCAATTTCAGGAATGTATTTAAAAGTAATGATATTTAGTTGAGATTACTTCCCAGGGTCTCTCTATGAAGGAAAATAAATATTCCATCTACACAACAGGATACAGAAGATACTGATGTTTTAGAAATAATAACTATATATGACAATATCCAGGAGAGCCTTCAGGAGAAAATAAAATATTTGTAGTAAGAAACCACCAAAGAGGTAAGGTTTTCGAGACCTTTCACGGGCATAAAAAACAACAACAACTATTTTTTACTCTCCATACTGCATGAGCAGACTCCTCACATAAATCACCCCCCACCGGGGCTTCCTAAGCTAAGCAATAATTGGGCCGAGCATTATGTGAGAGGAACAAAATAAGACTGCCCAGATGTGCTCTGACCGATGAAAGGGAAAGGAAGTGAAATTTCGGAGGCTAATTTGACACACAGCCTCACTAAAGCTAAGCACACGCAGGAACAGCATGTGGACCATTCCTAACTCCCCAGCCCCCACCCCAACCCCGCGCACCCCCCCCCCCACCATTCCAGCCTCTGGCTTTCTAGCTGTAAGTAATGGCATTCAAAGGGAGGGTGGTAGCTATTCAGTTCCAAGAGAAATTCATAACTTCCTTGCGTGTTCTCAGACTTTCGACTCAACGACACGAACTAGAGGCTGTCACACCACCCTACCCAAAGCAAAAGCCACCGCAGACCCTCAGCCACCACAGTGCCAGGAGGCTCTTAAGCATGTTCACAGAGTCTGCTGAAACACGGGACGAAGACGACAGGGTAAAGAGAAACATTAACAGCCCCCCTTGGCCGGACAAAAATAACTCCCGAGGCTGTAAGATGCCTTCCGCTCGGACACCAATAGGACACGAAGAAAATGGGTATTAATACTAATATGAAAACTCTTTCTAAAAAAAAAATTCAGTGTTTATTTGACAAATACCAAGTGTCTTTTCTTTCGTGCCTCTCTGGTTCTGATCTTTGGGGAAAGCCACGTGAGTATCAAATACCACTCAGTTCTTATTCAAACAGGAGACAAGCAGACTCAGACGGAGGCTGCGGGGTGACTTGGCTGACCAGGGCCCTCAGGAAAAACAAACCACTATAAATCACCAGATGTAAGCAATTGGAGAGTGATCACTTTAATTAATTGACCAGCTCGCCTGAATTTACTATATAACAACTTCAACCTTCCCAACACCTTTACTAGAAAAAAAAAAAAAAAAAAAAAAAAAGAAGGAACAATGGTGGCATTTAATCAAGCTGTTTGAAGAACACGTTTTAACTTTGGAGACAAGTAAAATTTTAATTACTTAAGATCAGGACAGGAAATTGCTTAATTTTCAAAATTAAACCGGGAACATACAAAATGCCACTTTTAAATGCTGCCAAGACAAGATGGTCCCCGAAACTGACCTGAGTACATGAGTATACACATATTATCTGTACTTAAAATACAGAAAATCTGACACGATTTTAATTGTACCTGAAAAACTACAAACTCACGTTTTGACTTCACTTACTGATTTAACTACCCTATGTTGACATTTTCAGTTGGAATTTCTAATCCTGATTCCCATGCCAGGCGCCATACTTAAAAGGTGATGCCAGATGACTCACTGATTAAGAGCAGACTCTGCCCCGGAGAGAACCCTAGTTCAGTTCCCAGCACACACATCCAACAGCTGATAACTGATCCAGGAGATCTAGCGCCCCCTTTTGGACTCCAAGGATACCTGCACTCACATGTGCACAAACCCACATACACATATAACGAAAAATAAAAAACGAGACCTCAATGGCATATTACCAGTTCCTATTATCCTCACAGGAAGTCTGAGCATTATCGACAAATATTACATAACTCAGCATCCACAGTTCTCAGGCCTGCCTGCCAACCGCTGAGCACTGTCAGAATTTAATTTCTAGTCCACAGAACATAACCAAAGCTCTAAGTAACTTCTTTTGAATCCCGGCAGTCAGGTGTGCAAAGGCAGCAGAGAGTAATGTGTGTTGTAAGGACGCTTGAGGGCTTGGTAGTTTTTAATGGGTTGCCTAGCAAGCAAGAAGCTCTGGGTTCCACCCCAGCTCCAAAACAAACAAACAAACAAACACACACTTGCGATTTAGAAGTGGAAACAAATTAATTTAAAGGTGCCTTCTTTCTTATGCCCTGGAAAGGGTATTCAAAGTTTGCTTCTAAGAGGTACGTGCTAGTTCATATAAATCAGTGATTCTCAACCTTCCTAACGCCGCAATACAGTTCCTCATGTTGTGGTGACCCCCAGCCATGAAATTATTTCATTGCTCATTCACAGCTGTAATTTTGTTACTGTTATGAATCTTAATGTAAACATCTGATAGGCATGATATCTGATATGCAACACCCGAAGGGGTCCAATGATTGAGAATCACTGACACGGATGGTACCTGCCGCTCTTACACACATACATGGGAACCATGGGAATGACGCCGACATTCACTTACAAGGAGAGCTGTCTAATATTTGCTGAGACTGGTCCCAGGTTTGGAATGGTCTCCAGTTCATTGTTATTCAGCTTCCTAAGAATGCCAAAAAGAACAGAAAAGGCTAATTAGGTCATCTGAAATCCAAAAATGTGGAAACACTATACATTATTTAAAGCCCGCCCACTTAAAAGTTTGAAGGAAAGTTTCTATAAACCAAAGGTTCATCCCGTGAAATGGTCTGAGAGGGGGAAACATTTCATGCAACCCTCAAATAGGAAGTGACTGGGACTCACACTTCTCGAAGGTTTTGGAGGTGGCTCAGGGAACTTGTCTGGATAGAAGATAACCTGTTGTGACTGAGGTCCCTGGAAGAAAACAAAAAGTGGTATTACAAGCAGTTTCGTAAAAGTTACTAATATCACTTAATGAAGTGCCAGGCAGAGCGGGGTTCTGAATTATCTCTCTCAACACCAGTGGCAAGAAGAGAAATAATCGGACCACTTTGTCCACAAAGTAAATGGCAACCAAATGTCAAACTCGAAATGACAAACTCTAAGGGCAAATTTAGTTTAAGAGGCTGGCAGATTCAAATACTTGAAGCCCACAAGCATTTTAAGAGCTGTTTTTTTGGCACATGGTGAACAGACCTTTTATGAACTGTAGCTTGCTTCACCCTCTCATCTCTCTCCCCACCCTCAATTTGATACAATGACATCATAGACTATGAAAAGTAGCTAATTAGACAGGTTACTGAAACAAGGACTCTGAAGAAACATTTTGATTATCACAAAATTAAGTAGCAATGTCTTTAAGGCAGTCAAAGAGAGCAGAGGTTGGCATCCATGGGGAGTTATTTCAGCTATTTGTTTCTCTGTGTGAGTTAAGGGACTAGATTACTAATACAGGGTGTGTTCGTGTGTGTGTGTGTGTGTGTGTGTGTGTGTGTGTGTGTGTGCAATTGCACACGCCCCCGAATGTACATGTTCAAAGGGATACACCACAGCCTGAATTCCTCTCCTCTAAGAACTTTGAATTTCAATATCCAATAATGCAGCACACCATTTATGAACCACACCAACCATCTGATAATGCAGGGCAAGCGGTACAAGCATCTTGGTCACTAAAAAGAAAGGTGCTTCTTACTCAAAGGCCCAGTACAACTTAACAATTCCCACAGGCGTCCAAGTACTAAAAGTAACCAACTCCTAGCTACACAGTGCTCTGGGTTAGGAAGTCCACCCAGCATCACGATTTGAAAAAAAAGGAGAACACAATCCAACAAATGTTTCAACATCCCATCTACATGCCTCCAAAGTAGTACCAGGAGGACAAAATGGTTGGAACAGTCACCAGGTACAAGGTTCAAGCCCAGTGTGGCTGGAAGCTCCCCTTCTGGAAGAGGCAAGCCGATCCTCGGCTAATTCCCCGGTGTTGAAAATGAAGGCTTTTAAATCACCCCAGTTTTAGATAACTAAAGTTAGCTGCTGACAAGCATGAACCATGCTACCTCCATCAGAATGTCCTCCCACAAACAAGAGAAAAACAGCAATCGCACACACAGAGAAACACTGTTGCTGCTTGCTCAATCCACAACTGGCAATGAAGGACCCTGTCCTTCTCCTTGCTTTTTGTTTTGAGAGTAAGCCCTGATTCCTGTGTTTCACCCCAAAAGAAAATTTAAAAAAAAAAAAAAAGGAACTTGCAAAGATTTTTATTCAAGCTCTGCTTGCCTAGAGACCTACCAGACAGTAACAGACATGAGCAGATTTGTTCTGGTGGAGTTATAACATGAAGGGGTGGGGGTTGGGGGGGGGAATCTGGCTCCCATTTCAACTATAAAAATCCTGCAATTACAACCACTGCTGTGCACGCTCACCACGCTGGCTGGAGCCAGACACTTTCCCCTCACCGTCCAGCCCAAGTCCATCTGGAGTTCATCAAGGAAGCAGAGAGCCTAACAACTCACGTTAGCAGTCAGACAAAAACCTGCTTGCCTTTAGCACCCCAGACAGTCACAGATTGCCCACATGGTTGAAAACACAACCCAGAAAGGAGTCTTCCACCTGGGGCTTTAGCCTCCCCCCACAGACAGTCATTTGGACCTACTTAACTCAAGAATGCTGCGCCTGCCCCCACCCACCATTGTTTCCTGTGTTTGAAAAGCATGGGGAGGGGGGCAATCTGGTATTTACATTTCATCCAGTCGATTTTCTTTTAATTTAAAGAAAAGAAAAGCTCGATGTAAGGATTATTATTTCACAGGGAATCCTGGGAGAAATGAGATGTGGGGGCTCAAAGTTTCCCACCAGTCATGGGATGAGGTTCCCCCTCCCTAGCCCCTCCCCCCCAACAAAAGGTCTTTAAACTGGGAACAGCCTGCAGCCCAGTGTACGTTCTGGGGACACTGGTTTCATGTCTTCCAGCAGGAGCTGGCAGCCATACGTATTTCAGTTATGGCCAATGCTTCCATCCTGAGATCTGTATACTATTAAAACCATATTATATGTGGGAGACGAAAAGAAAAAAAAATTCTTAAGTGACTTTTACTGCTAAATACTTAAAGCCATGGAACTTTTAATTTACCTAAATTTAGATTTTTTTTTTACAGTAATATACATTTCAGAAGTAATTACCTTCTTTTCAGAGGATGTCACATTTTCCTACATCTTCCCTCTATTATTTTTATGGATGGAACACTGAGAGATTCAGGACATAAAACGCCAGTGTTTCCTTGAACCCAGGACAGAAACTATTCCATGGGAGGGCAGATTGATTGTTATGTGAAGTTCCATAAAAGAACATCTTTCCCCGGGAAACTTTTTTTTTTTTTTAACAAGATTTGCTGTGATGAGGCCAATACTTGGGTTGGGCAAGGCGTTAGCTATTTACCCAGAAAGCCACTGGGCAAAGGCTTGGGGAAAAAAAAAAAATCAAACCCTGTGTATGGTAGAGTCGCTTTATCAAGTGAATGAGCATATGTGAGAACTATTGATTTTACAGCACTTGGTGCTAGCTAGTGTTTTCTTCTTTTTAAACATTTGGAAATCTGGCTTCCGGCTCAAATTTGGAAACGCAAAGACAGCAGCGGTGTGTCTTAACCCCACAGGGGCCTGCCAAGCTGCTAACTCAGCAGAAACACGGAAAGCCGAAAAACAAAAAGGAAGGCTTGTAGCTGTTTTAAAACACGGATCCAAAGCGACTCATAAATCAGCCTGCTGGGCTCAAGCTTGGGTCTGGAAAATATAGACGAACAGCTGTGGAAACCATAAGGACTATTACTCCCTCCCTACCCCCAGCTTCAGTCAGCTCCAGAAGATTCCTAACAGGCCAACACCGAAGAAGAAGTCACACACCAGCACAAACTACCTTTCGGACTTTCGCCTCAGCCCTGTTAAGAGCTCAAACATGCCCACGTGGTAAGATGCATCATCTGAAATCCCAGCTAGAATCTAATAACACCAGAGGTTCCAGTTGGCAATCAAACCATATCCCCCCTCTGGCTAAGTCACGTATTGTAACAAGCCCCCCTCTTTGGGTTTCGAGCCCCGAAAGCACAAAGGTTTTCAAGCGAGGCTCCAAGCAGTGAGTTTTTTTTAATAGCCACTTTCATTAAAGGACTGCAGCTTCGCTCTCAAAGCAGGAGCAAGCACAGTGTTATTATTGTTCAGCTCCAACTATTCAGCTTTCCACTCAAGGCGCTCCTGTGGCAATAAATGACAACTGGGTAAAGTGGACACACACACACACACACACACACACACACACACACACACACGCAGCACAGACGTTCATAACTTGCACGTTCCACAAAGAGAACAAAAGGCCCACAGCATGCTTTCCTGAACTTTCTCATCAACTGTTCCAAAGACAAACTTTCGCTCTTTTCCTGACCCAGGGAAAGGAGAGCCGTGCCGCACAAGGCACATTTTTCTACTCACTCCCTGGTCGTGGAAGTGAGGTCTACTTAAGAGCTTTTGTTATTATGTAAGATTTAAGGAGCAGCAACTTACATCTCCTATTGCAATCCACCAAATAACAGGGGGAGGAACAAACAAAAGAAACCCCGACAATAAAGAACTTAAGACCACATGGTCTGGTGACACCTAGGAAGATGGTCAGAAGTCACAGGAGAACAAGGACCGAGGACTGGAGGGAAGGCTGTCCAGATGAGAGGTCACAGCAGGACCTCTGAAAGGAGGCTAAGTGCTTATTTATACAAGTGGGATGTATTTTCACATACATTTGAGGAATGTGGACTTGTATTGAGACAATTTACTACTGGTGGAAATGTAATTAAAGACTGCGCAAACCAAATAAACTGTAATTTGTTAGGGTGCCACCAAATTATCTGCAAAACAAAATCCTAATTAGGTCAGCTCTCTTTAAGAACGTTTAAATAGGTATTGAGTCCCCCTTTCGACTCAGCCCTACTTCCAATCCAGCTCCTCACAGTTCTCCGAAATGCCTCTAGATTCCAAAACACAATACCGTGTACTGACAGCCTTTAATGGGCCACCTGTCATTGAGGAACTACAGTTAGACGGAGTAAGCATTTCTAAAGGCACTCCAGGGAAGCACCGTCTGAGTTTTCTCTCTCATCCCTCTGCTAGCCATAGGTGTCCACCTCCAGGCATTCACAGGTTCCATATGTTCTCAATGGAGCCATTCTGCTTCCCGTGAATGCGGCAGCGAGACCCCCCACCCCCAAGAGGCAATTGAATGGAATTAGCCACAACTAATTGAAAGTCTTCCTGCTTTAGGCTCAAGGCTTTATCTTCCCTTTCACGAGTAATAAAAGCTGCTACATCAGACATTCCATAATCAGCCATTAAATATCAATCCAATTCTCGTTAATTCTATTTCCTTATTAAACTCCTTCTTAAAACAAGGCGTTTTGTTTGATGGTCAACAGTTTATAGCTGATGAAAGTATTTAGGTTGGCACACTGGTTTAAAAAAAAAAAAAAACACGACTTCTTAAGCCGCCTGACCACCAACTATTGTCAAGAGCTTCGACAATTGTTTAAGAGCTGAGAATTTCCACTAGGCCTAAATTTAGGAATCTTAAGTATGAAGTGCAATTTGATTTTTCTTTTAAGCAGGACAACTTTTTTTTTAATACAACTTTTGATTTGTTTTTAAATTTTCAGTTATCTATTTATTTATTTTGCGTATGGCTTAAACACCCCCTCCAATTTTAACAAAATTAGAGGTTGGGAGAGAATAAGGAGGGCTGACATTTGTAAAAACTCGCATTTCCAATTAAATTACATTTCCTTCTGTGTTCTTCCACACCGTTGGCAGTGACTTCAGGCTTTCAGACCTCGCATCTTAAAATTCGCCAAACAGCACTCAGCGCGGGCCCTCAACCTTCACAGCGCTGCTGGAGGAGGTGTCGGTTCTGAAAACCCACTTCCTCCCCCTGCTTATCCACAGATCAGACTTCGCACCCAACTTCTCACCGGAACCGAGACGCATTACAAAGTGGCCCGGGAGGGAGGCTGATGGTCTGCTAATGTGAAATTAAGCACAGGAAGAAGAAAGGTCGGTACACCACAGCCTGAGGAGGGGGTTCTACGTGAAAGGCGCGCAAGCAGTGACTGGGGGCAGGCAGGGACTCTAAACCACTGGGAAACCAAAGTTGGGCCGGTTTCCCAAATAATAAACTCAGAAGAAAACATGCAAAAATCCGGTGGTCTCCCAGACTGGCTCCTGCGGTCGCGGGCGTCTGGTCCTGTGGCCCGGGAGTGGCGAGCCAAGCGCCCACCTGCGCGGACGCAGAGGGAGACTTGAGTTCCCCCAAGGGGCTCCACTCGCGGCCTAGGCACAGTGCACCCTGCACCCAGCGCCCAGGCCTTGGGCAGACTGCGCTCGTCCCCGCACCCCTCGGTGGGGCCGTCCCCTCCACCCCACGGTAATGATATTGATACTCACAGCCGGGCGACCCAGGCCGGGAGAGGATCAGGAAGGTGAACGAGCCGGCGGCGGCTGCAGTCTAGCAGGTCCCCGAGGCAGTGGCAGGCGGCTGGGCATGGGCGCCGTGCAGCATCCTCCGAGGGCTGCCCCGGCGCCCCGTGGCCTCCGCGCTCCGCCGGGCCCGTGCGCCCCAGCCCCGCGCACAGCAGCAGCCCCAGCGCCGCCGCGGCGGCCGCTCGGAGCCTGGGAGCACCCATCGCCGCGCTCCCCGCCGCCTCCGATCGGCCCGGAGCTCCGCAGCCTCGTGCCAACTCTCTCCCTCCTCCCCTCCCCCGACGAGCACCGAACTCCCGGGACCGGGCTGGACACGCCGATCGCGGCCGCGTGCTCCTCGCCCGCTCAGGGTCGGCACCGAAGGCCTCGCATGCCCGCGCGCAGCGGGAGAGCCAGCAGCGAAGGACGGCCAGGCGCGGCGCGGGTAGCCCGAGCGGCGTCCGAGAGCTCGATCGCCTGCACAGAAACTTTTCCGCCTGCGGCGGGGCGGCGGGGGCGCGAAGTCCCGGCGCGGCGGAGCGGCGAGGCGGGGCGCGGAGGCCGGCGCTCGCCCATTGGCTCGCCGGGGCACCCGCGGCCACGTGACAATAACAAGGCTCCAACCCTCCCGGGCCGGCGCCGAGGAGAAAGTGGAGCTGAGATTGTAGGAAATTCCGAGTTACATTTTCCAGCGTCTGCAGCCAGAAGTCTCCGCTATGTCCTGGGAACCATAGATCAGATGGAATGGAAGGGTGGGGGGGAAAGCGAGCCAGCGGAGGACTGAGCTCGCTTGCTGCTCAGATGTGGAGTGACTTGGAGGAACTTTAGGGAGTACAGTTAAAGTGGGTTTGGTGTGAGGGAGCGTTTCAATTCCAAGCGAAAAGAACTGTGTCAATACCTGCCTTGTTTGAGGAATCAGAAAACTGCAGTTTTGAGAACACATTTGC